ATTTATCAAAGATGGGGTGGTAAGAGAAGGGGACTATTCAAAAAGGCCTTAGGGAGAAATTCAAATACGTTTCCTCTAAGCCCTTTATTTACTTTTCCGAGTATATTAGTCCCACAATTTGCATGACTATATTCCATACTGATAAAGCCATTGGATGGGGAAACGTCTACAGTAAAGATACCGGTATGTATTTAATTCATTATATATATATATATATATATATATATATATATATATATATATATATATATATATATATATATATATATATATATAATGATATTAATAATCTCTCTCGCTCGCGGGCATCTCAAAATAGGGAAAGTGAAGCGACACGTTGCACGCTCTGCAGAAGTCTCACAGCTCTCTGGTAAAAGCTGCGACGAACTTGGGCTTTGCACTATAACATCAAAGAGATGTACCAGTGTTTCATAAGGATCAAAGGCAAACTGTTCTCCACTTGGCTTGGTGGAATTCCACTTGAAGCTCCTCCAGAGAACATGATAGTGCGGCTCCGGAGAGAGAGTGAGAAAGGTGGGTCATGACAGAAGGTCAACCAAGTGAAAGCCAAGTCATCAGCAACAGTGTGTGGCGGCACAAGGTCTCTCACCTGTTTAAGACGCAAGACAATGTCACACAACTACTGAAGATAACAAACAAGATCAGATACCTCTTGGGGAAGTTAAATAGGATTAGAGACCTCTTTAAGACAAGAGATAAAACCAGATTCCTTCCGAAGATAATCGGATACTATCAGACACTTGGAAAACATTGGAAGACATTCCTCTTGAAAACCAAACAAGGTCAAACATGAAAGTAAATGGTTCAAGGAACCGACAGGATGAAAAATTAGTCACTTGTGCAACACCTATTTTTATTGTGGAAACGCTTCGTCTCAAGTGGCTTCCTTATTCCAATCAGGATTAGTTGACTGATTACATTGACTCTAGACTAAGGATTGATTACCTTAAACTCCTTCTGGTCTTCAACCATCCTTCTCTTTATTGGACTGAGGAAGGGAAGCCACGGGTTGGCGAAACGTTTCCACAAAAATACGCAAGTGTTACACAAGTGTCTAATTTACCAGTGTCAGATCTTGAAGACTGATAAGATTCCATACTTCATGAGAATATTAGAAGTAAAGAGCTCGAAGTGAGTACCATCTTAAAGAGATCAAGTGGCAGCGTCTGTCGTGCTAGCTGCTTAGAGTTACGACTCACAGACTGAAAAAAATTTTTAAAACTCTGGCCAGTACGAACTACAGGTATAAACCTTAAGGAAACGAATCACTAAGGCCATACACGCCCAAAAAAATGTAAAGAAAGGTATTTTGAGAAGGCTAATCTGAAGCGATATTATTAAAAATTAAAATATATGGTTGGAAAGAATTTACATAAAACTCTGGATAAGAGCTTCAGAATATTAAACGTGGAAAGGCTTGGAAAAACATTTTTTTTCATGGACAGTATAAAGGTTGTGATGAATGGTTTTGAAAACCGACAAGTTGAAGAATTGAGACACTTATGCAACACATGGGAATCTTTATTGAAGAAACGTTTCGCCACACAGTGGCTTCATCAGTCCAATACAAAGTAGAAATGGGTAAGGAGAGTAGAAGTATGAGGTAATCAGTCCCTCAACCTGGATTCGATGTGTTCAGTCCATCACTTACTACAAGAGTGATGGACTGAACACATCGAATCCAGGTTGAGGGACTGATTACCTCATACTTCTACTCTCCTTACCCATTTCTACTTTGTATTGGACTGATGAAGCCACTGTGTGGCGAAACGTTTCTTCAATAAAGATTCCCATGTGTTGCATGAGTGTTTCAATTCTTCAGTATAAAGGTTATAATAATATATATATCGATAACTTGCGACAACATTATAACCATAGAGAAGCACTAAACCTGTAAGTCATGCAGAGCCTGGAGAATGGGAGATAAGGCGAGAATGGGAGGATATCCCTAATTCCATGGCTCAGGAGCTTGTAACAAGATACTCGCAGTCTAATATTAATGTTGTACAAGAATGGTATACAATACCGACAAGATGAAATTGAGACACATGTGCAACATCTGGGTATCTTTATTGTAGACGTTTCGCCATCCAGTGGCTTTATCAATACAAATTCCAGGACATAACTTGAAGACAGGAGAACTATGTACAGAAGATGAGCACCGTAGGTGCTCTTCGCACCTACTGCTAGGTTGAGGGACTGATTACCTCATCTTCTGTACATAGTTCTCCTGTCTTCAAGTTATGTCCTGGAATTTGTATTGATAAAGCCACTAGATGGCGAAACGTCTACAATAAAGATATCCAGATGTTGCACATGTCTCAATTTCATCAATATTAATGTTAAAACTAAAAGTAATTTATACACGTGGGCATAAACAGAGGCACCAACCAGGGTATCCTCCAGCAGTGGTAAACTGCACTCGTATAAGACTGACACAGGTGGGAATAGAATAATATATTAACCAGAATTATCAGGAACTGTACGGTTTGAATTATGATTTAATAGAATTATCTCTTAAAGAGAGATCACAGAAAACTGTTAAGTGGATTTATGTTCCATTGATGAGCTGTTGTTCGTACAGGTTAAGTGGAGCTGGGTTAAGCAAAGGAGCTGCAGCTTCTTAGAGGAATCATCCCCAGGACAATTAAGAAGTTACTAGTAATACCAATCTCAACGAACGGAAACTGGTCTGCAAGAAAGTACTAAATTTTAAGAAACTGCTATCGATACTCGTTCTATTTGTATTTTAGCAAATGTTTTGCCACTTCGCTTCAGGGACCACATATTGGACGCACCTGTTGCACAGTACAATAATATGGGTTAGCTGGAAATTACAGATTTATTACAAGTATGAAGTCCATCCTGGCGGAAAGTGAAAGAGAAGTATCGCTTTCGTGCCCACTGTGTAACTATCATTTATAGATTAAGTTAGCAGCCTACTGTTGACGTACGAAATAAAAATCAAACACGGGATGTGTTACATCCATTTATCTTCGAAGTACAACTAAGGTTACACAAGAACATAAGAAAGGAGGATCACTGCAGCAGGTCTGTTGGCCCATACTAGGCAGGTCCTTTACAATCCATCCCACTAACAAAACATTTGCCCAGCCTAATTTTCAATGCCACCCAAGAAATAAGCTCTGATAACTATCCACTCATTTGCAAGTCCCACTCAAATCCAACCCCTCTCACTCATATATTTATCCAACCTAAATTTGAAACTACCCAAAGTCCTAGCCTCAATAACCCAACTAGGAAGACGGTTCCTTCCTCTCCACATTAATCAGCAGATCCTATACAGGTGGTAAATGATCTTGTGATACCCACAAACTGTGCAAAGGGATACTTGTCTACGGTTCAGGACATTTATTAAAAGGAAACGTTTCACCAAGAGTGGCTTCACTAGTCCATAAAAAAAACCAGTCATGATGAAACCACTCTTGGTAACACTACACAAGTGTCCTTTTCCATAGATCGTGTACAAGCCTCGTCTGTAGCAACTCCCAACCTGGAGGTCTCCTCTCTCCTCGGCTCCTCTAACAGACGGAAAAAAGTATGGTCTTGTGTGTCTCTCACGGGTGCAGCACTTCAGAGAATAAAAATAATTTGCTCCGCTCAGTAAAATACGTCAATTGTAAAACAAAAACCGTAAAGCGCAGTAAAACAAGTTCTCTATTAAATACAGCATAAACACTGTATTTAAATACAATATAAACTGTATAAATACAATATAAATACACAGTAAAACACTGAAAAAAAAGTAGTGTAAAAAGAGACAAAATATGCTCTTCTCCCGCAGGCAATCGTGCACCAAATCGCAGTGAGAATCCTCCAGTAATCCTGCAACAGGACTCTTTCAACGTTCCCGAGAGATCCAGGAAGATTTTAGGATGTTCAGCTCCCCTCCTTCCTCCATTCCTCCATGGCCGGGAGATCCTCCCTCTCTCAGCAGTGGCTGAGAAGCACCAGAAAACGTTCAAATCTGCACGAGTATGACTCGATGTGGGAGAATGTGTTGATTTCCCTTCATCTCCTTCCCATCTCTCACTTCGTCTCCTTCCCATCTCTCACTTCGTCTCCTTCCCATCTCTCACTTCGTCTCCTTCCCATCTCTCACTTCGTCTCCTTCCCATCTCTCACTTCGTCTCCTTCCCATCTCTCACTTCGTCTCCTTCCCATCTCTCACTTCGTCTCCTTCCCATCTCTCACTTCGTCTCCTTCCCATCTCTCACTTCGTCTCCTTCCCATCTCTCACTTCGTCTCCTTCCCATCTCTCACTTCGTCTCCTTCCCATCTCTTAAGAGCAATGGAGAACTATGGAACAATCATCAGGAACAATTAGAGAAATATTACCGTTCATAATGGATCAGTCATTAGGAACAATGAGGGAACAATCATCAGGAACAATGAGGGAAGAATCATCAGGAACAATGAGGGAACAATCAAGAACAATGAGGTATCAGGAACAATGAGGTAACAATCAGGAACAATGAGGGAACAATCAGGAACAACTGAGAGAACAATCAGGAACAATGAGGGAACAATCAGGAACACTGAGGTAACAATCAGGAACACTGAGGTAACATTCAGGAACACTGAGGTAACATTCAGGAACACTGAGGTAACAATCAGGAACACTGAGGTAACAATCAGGAACACTGAGGTAACATTCAGGAACACTGAGGTAGCAATCAGGAACACTGAGGTAACAATCAGGAACACTGAGGTAACAATCAGGAACAATGAGGGAACAATCAGGAACAACGAGAGAACAATCAGGAACAATGAGGGAACAATCAGGAACACTGAGGTAACAATCACCAGGAACAATTAGACTACTATTACCATTTATGAAGGATCAATTATTAATTTTTATTGGGTTTTCAGAAAGTCAGCCAGTTATGACTTGCTTGTGGAGTATAATAATTTGACAATAATTGATTTAAAGATCTAACTTACAGCGCGTATTTCAGATGGTGGGCGTGGGTGGCGTGGTGGAGGTGGGGGCGTGGTGCTTGTTGACGTGGGCGGCGGGCGTGGCCTGTCAGAGGGCGCCCTGCTACCAGTGTGAGTGGTACAGAGAGCGACACCCGCACTCCAGTCCCTACACTGCGGTAAGTACACTCTAGCTCTTCTCAAAAGCATCTGTTCGAAAATTACTTAAAAAAAAACAGTTATATTCTATACGAAACACGAAATGCCTCTGCGTTATCATGTAAAAGTATTGGCAGCAGCTTGTTCCTCCGTCCGCTTTTCACGTTGCTTGATCTGACGTTGTTGTCCTCGTGCCGTCCTCTAGTCGAGCTCTGAATCCAAAATTTGTAGGTGATGCTGTGCATTTTTGTCTATCGATCCTCCAGGTCTGTTACGTGCAAAAATATCTTTTGTTTTCTTCATTCGTACGTTGCAGGATCATTTTTGTATATGATATGCCATTAATATCCTCAATTCACCAGAGAACATCCGTCTCAACTGAATTCTGTAGGTCCTCCCCTCGCTGGTTGTGTCTGCACTACACCACTGTTGACATGCTTAGTCGTATGTTGCAATGAGCAGTGACTGCACTATGTCACTGTCAACACGCTTGGTCGTATGTTGCACTGAGCAGTGACTGCAGTATGCCACTGTCGACATGTTTGGTCGTATGTTGCACTGAGCAGTGACTGCAGTATGTCACTGTCGACATGCTTGGTCGCATGTTGTACTGAGCAGTGATTGCACAGTCCCCGCCTTCCACAGTCAGGGTCAAAACTATTTGTTTACAATGAGAATAGGTTCTTTTGTTTTCATGCATTTTTGGATATCAATAATTGCAAGCATGTAAAAGTACAGATATGCTTAATAATAACCCACATGGAGTCAGAAACACAGGAGGTTGATTGATCTGTATATTTCGACCCCCTTCTGGGTTCTTTTTCAGAAGGGGGTCGACGTATACAGATAAATCAACCTCCTGTGTTTCTGACTCCATATTGGTTATTACTGAACACTGACGAGTGTACATTACACTTTAGTTATGCAAGTACAGATATGTTAATACCGAAAGATTGTGTAGGTAAAACACACACGAATAATTATGACATTTTCTGAAGGAATCGTTTCGCCACTGTATCGATACATCTACTTCAATATTACAAGTGAATTTTTTTGCCAGTAAAATAAGAGATATTCTTGGCGTATGGGATGTCATCCACACCAGTTGATGTGTAAGAAAAGGACGAGTCTTGCCTTCGGTTTTCTCTGGAAAAAAGAATATTTTTAACTCTTCCCTCCAGCTGATGACAAGCTCATGACGCAAGACTTATGATCTACGTCATCTGTCGAAGGACGTAAATCATCATGATGTATTCTGCACGCCAGCATAACATACAGCGAACACATCACACATAACACGTAGACAAATGATATGTCGTGTGTCTTTCAAAGCTGGAACAACCATGAACTCTAGTCTTCAGATTTATTTTCACACTTGGGACACATGAGTAATAATTTATGACACATAATGAACCAACATTGAAGGTGAACTTAGCTCTGCTGGCTCGATGCTTCACTTATCCAATGATGTAATAGTCGCTCCTGTGATAAAGTGTAGGCAGCTCTTCTCCCACTGGACTAAACGATATTCATCACAATGACCCAGTTCGAGAACAGAGTGAAGACCTCAGTAAAAAAAAGTAAGTGAAATACTCTATAAACTCGTCCACGCTCACACACACACACACTCACGCAATCACACACACACACGCAAACACACCCACACAAACACACCCACACACGCAAACACAAACACACCCACACGCAAACACAGACGCAAACACACAACGGCATTTTCTCCACAGCTGAAGACACTTTTGCAGGATCTCAAATTGATTAATACTGAAAGATAAAAGTAACTGGACGAGAACTTCTCTCTCACAGCAACAGTGTTTACACTTCTTCAGTGAAAATGCTGAACCTCTAACGATGGACGCGGTCCATGATACTCCTCCATGCAAGAAATGCCCATCCCCCCCCCCCCAAGTCACCGACTGACGTCGCTACCTCTTGATGACGTGTCCGAACTTCTGACAGCAAAAAAAAAAAAAGAAACTTCTCCGAAAGGGAAACATGTGTGTTGATCTTTAACCTGAGCGAGGCGGCCCGAAGCCCTTCATGAAGAACTAACTTGTCAAATATTAAAATGAAAAATTTGTCATGTCACTCGGCCTGTTAACATTTTTCTCCTGTAGCTGAAGAATTAGACAGATGTGTGACATCTAGGTATCTTTATTTGTAGGCGTTTCGCCATCCAGCGGCTTTATCAATACGAGGACATAAAGCGAAGATTGCAGAACTATATACAATAGATGAGGAAATCAATCCCTCGGCCTTGGAGATGGTGATGAGCACCATAGTCTTGAAGAATCTGAAGCACAGGCGCTTATATACTGGCATCTGGTGCAGGACGTACAGCAGACAAATGTATTGTCACTGGTAGGTGGGATTCCCCAGTGGAAGTAGATCATACCCAAGGGATGGTTCGGCATTGTTTCTTCCTATCTCTTCCTTCCGTCTTCCCTTCATTTTCGCCTTCCTCTCCTTCCTTCTTTTTCACCGGGGGCTGTGTTTACACCAGGTCTCTGCGAGACACCACATACAAACTTTTCCCACAGCTTAACCAAACACACCAGACTGCTAAACTGCAAAACCACTGACGGTCACACGCTATGTTTCTTCTAACTATAAGCCTAGAGAGTCACGCGCTATATTTCATCTAACTGTAAACGGAATTTCACTCGCTATACTTCTAACTAAGTGACACTCGCTATATTTTGCTCTCCTGACTTTTGTTTAAGGAACACTGCAGGAAGAGCGTGAATGCGGGTACAGGAATCTCTATACTCAAGAGCAATTCAGCCGTATAATTTGCAGCACGAGCATTCAGAAGCATACTTGTTGAAATCTTGGATTACATATTGTAAGAGAAGTTATTTAAGCCAGAGCAAATGTAAGCGGAATGATGTTGGCTGTTTTTCTACATAATCGGTTTAATTTTCCAAATCATCTGATGAAAGAAGTGGAGCTGGTGGTTGTGAAATTAATATCATAAGCTTAACACCAACTATACCACCTTAACAACGAGGGGGTTAAAATCCCCTTCAACACGCCACACCTTAACCGTGTGTGTCGTATGTCCCTTCTCTCTACGACGACCACGGGTAGTAACCCTCCCCATTACCTTACGGAAAAGGTCGTAGCTGCCATCCTTCTCACCCCACTAAACACTTCACAAAAGTGACGATATTAATGCCCTACTGAAGTCTCCCAGGTGAGATTGACAGATTTCAACACTTTGTACGAGTCCCGTCCTGCGTGATGGAATGTGTCAGGGAAAACAGCTGGATTTTTGTTCCCATTCTGTAACCATATAGAATATAGTAGCAGCACACTGCAGATCTATCTAATGTTGCTTAATTTATAAAACCTAACTTGAAAATACGACTAAAAGAAATATTAAATACACTGAATTATAAATGCCCTGTAGAGTAATCCAAGACATTAGTGAAAAAACTAATAATGGTTATTAATCATAACCATGAATTTTAAAGAGGTAGACCAGTAAGCCAGCGGAAGTCCTCGGTCAGATAACCAAAAGCTCCAGCTGTGGGTTATCATATGACTAAAACCCACGTCAGCAAACACTTGTCCTGTTTCCTGACAAACGTTATAACTTAGTGAAATAGTTCTTTGTGCCTCAGTTAAATCTAATAAGAAAAGATTAAAGAATTTCTGTATCTTCTCACTGTAAAAAAAAATATTTAAATTTATAATACAAGGTTTACGTATTGTGTGGAATAAGACACTTAGGTACAGCTCAGGGCATTTATTACAGGAAACGTTTCGCCACGAGTGACTTCTTCAAACGAAACAAGCGAAACGTTTCCTTTAATAAATGTCCTGAACTGTAAGTAAGTGTCTTTTCCCATATCTTGTTGGCAAAACTTTCTCTGTTTACGTATTGTGAACGAGAGGCGGAGCATTACAGTCACTGTACAGCGTCAAGGCCGCGAAGGGCTACACACTGCCTAAGTAATGGAAGATAATCAGAGTTTATCCAAGGGTAGGGTAGCCTCAGTTCCTTGGATCAAGAGCACCTTCGCCAGCATCAAAGCACCCCTTGAAGGGATGAGCAAGGGAAGAGCGGCCAGCTCTCCGGAGGGAATTGTCCAGGAAGGAGCGACCACTGGAGCTGTACCGTCACTGCAACTGACCTCCACTCAATTATTCACACTGTGAATAATACAAGGGGCGGCAAATTGCCCCATAGTGTTGGCGGAAGACTACAAGTAATAGGATGTTTGTGTTACTCCATGAGAGCAGTATCAATTCCTTGGCTCAAGAGCCCTTCGCCAGCATCGTCTCCTCCCTTGAAGAGTGCAACCCTTCAAGAGAGGAGACAAGTGGTATATACACATGGATATACTCATATATACAGAAAAGCTAAATTCATTGAGTTCAGATTCAGTCCCAGGAGGGTAATTATATATAATACAGACACGATGAATAAAAAAGCAGATAGAGTAATGAGATCATTAATCGACAACATTTAACCTAATCACAAATGCATTTAACCTAATCACAAATACATGGCTAAAGAGTGATGGGTTTAAGAAAAATCTGTCCTGCATGGGCGAGCAGGCCTGCTGCAGTGTTACTCTATACTATAACGTCTTTATGCGGTATACCGATCAAAGAGTTTCCTGAACAGAGGCTCACCTAGGTTGCCGTAGCTGTTGTTCTAGTTATTGGAACGTAAAAATGGAAGAACATTACAGCAAGTCTACTTGTCCATACTAGGCAGGTCCTTCAAATTGTTGGGTGTGCTTATGAGTGGTGATTCCAAGATCCTGCGTCTCTGGATGTCTTTCTTCTTGGCGACGAGTAGACAGCCTTGTGGAAGATTTCGTGTAAAAACAAGTCGCTCGTTCTGCTGCCGTACTGGTGTTCAGAAATGAGTGGATATGTCTGGAAGTTTCTCTCATGTATATTTTGTCACAATCCATGCAAGGGGTTGTATACCCCAGGAGTCCATGGACTGAACCTGTTGGTACTGCCCTGTACTAATAATATCCTT